CGTTACTGGGTAGGTGTGGTTTGGTGGTCATGTGACTGGGTGGGCGTGGCCAGGTGACTGGCAAACCAAATAGAAGTGGTCCTCACTTAATGGCAGGTTGTTTAGCAAGTGTTCTAATTTATGACTGGCCTCCCCAGAGTTACTTGACCTGTTTGGGGGTTTTGACAGCCATGAACACACATACACACACTCCCTTCCAACCCTGCTGGAGCAGGTCATTGGACTAGAATCGGCAAAGCATCTCTGATTAGATTCTAGTAGTGAATAGAATCTAATCACAGATGCTTTGCCGATTCTTGTTGATTTTTATTTGTATTTCTTTATTTTATGTGCTGAATTGCATTGACGTGTGTTCTTTCTTGTGCACAATGCAGAAGCTTTTGTGATTCTTTGCAGCAAAATTTACCAACCTCTGGCTTTGCTCTATTTTTCAAATGTGCTGCCACTGCCGCGTTCTAGGTGCCGGCCCCGCAGGTCCACCCCATTGAACCTGCTGCTTTGGAGGGACCTGCCCAAGCAAGTCCGAGCGGAGCAGTGCACCAAGTCAATGGGGTGAGCCTGAGAAAGGGAAAGAGAGACAGAGAAAAGAAAGAGAGAGAAAGAGAGAGAGAAGGAAGAAAAGAAAGAGAAAAGGGAAAGAAAAAAAAGGGACAGATAAAGAAAGGGGGAGATGGAAGGAAGGGACAGAAAGAAAAAGAAATAAAGAAGGAGAGAGGGAGGGAGGAGAAAGATAATGAGATATCTATTCTAGTCCAATCACCTGCTCCACCTGTTCTGGGTTAGAAGGGAGTGTGTGTGTATGTGTTCTCCTTGTAATTTACCAGTACATTTTGGTTTTGCCTTCTTCAGAATTGGCATGGTAATATATTGGGGAAAAGTAATTTTTAGGGTAGAGATCTGGTTCAATGTTTCCTGTTTAAAGCCTCAACAAAACGTGAGAGCTTCCTGATAGTCTTGACCATGTTTCCTCCACAAAACCTTTTATAGAAACCAAATATGTTTCAATGTGGAAAAGGGCCTCAATCTAAACTAGGCCTCATTTCAATTTGATGCATCAGGTCTCTCTCTCTCTCTCTCTCTCTCTCTCTTTCTCTCCCTCCCTCCCTCCCTCCCTCCCAGACTGGCTTTGCTCTACTTTCCCAATGTGCCTGCGGGGCTGGCGCTTTGAACATGGATTGATGGATGGATAGATGGATGGATAGATAGAGAGACAGGTAGGTAGGTAGATAGATAGATTGTTAGATTAATAGGTAGGTAGACAGGCAGGCAAGCAGGCAGGAAGACAGACAGACAGACCTTTTGGACGGATGTATGGATAGGTAGGTAGGATGCTAAGAGGTGTCAGGGGGGGCGGTGCGTCAAATGCGGCCGCAGTGGCACGTAACGTGCCATTGTGGCCGCATTTGAGGCTCCGGCTCCGGAGCAGTGCAACAGCCGGCCCCCAGCTGCCTCTTAGCACCCTTCTGCTAGTCCCCTTGGGGACGCTAAGAGGCAGCAAGGGGGCATTTGAGGCACTGGCTCTGGAGCAGTGCAACAGTCACTGGGTGACTCTGCGGGGCCTGCGCCTCAAACACCCACCTGCCACCTCTTAGCATCCTCAAGGGGGCCAACAGAGGGGTGCTAAAAGGTGGCAGGGGGGCGATCAAGGCACTGGCTCCAGAGCAGTGCAACAGTCAATGGGTGACCCTGTGGAGCCTGCACCTCGAACGCCCCCCTGCTGCCTCTTAGTGCCCCCCCTGCCGACCCCCTTGCCTCTTAGTGCCCCCCAAGGCATCCCCCCCCAGGGGGTGGTACCTCCCACTTTGGGAACCACTGGATTAAAACAATAGTTATTGGTGGTTTAATCACCCTCTCTTTCTTGTACTGGAAGTAATCCAATATAAAGTAGAGATTATGGTATTGCAACCAGATGGAGAGCTGAGTTGTAAGTCCCCACTCAACCACTGAATTTACTAAGAAATTATATTCATTGTCAAGCCAGCCTACTTCACAAAGTTATTGTAAGGATAAAGTTATGTGACCCCCCTTTGTAAATCCCACTGAGTTAAAATGGGATATAAATTCAGCAAATGAATGAATGAATGAAAGAAATGGTTACATTCAAATTCAGAAACAGTTATGAAAAAATTCATTGCTGTGGCTTCTCCCAATTGTGTATTTTCATCTTGTCATCTTGTGTATTTTCATTCAAAGTGAATATGGCTAATGTATGTTATCTCAAAAATGGTGTTCCTGGTTATTCCAAAGTTCAAACACTAAACCAGACACATTCAATGTGACAATAATTCTTTTTTACATCTTCTGAGAAAGAAACTCTTTCCGGGAAAGTTGATGCCAGCCATATTGATGCCACAAAACAAATTAATCTACAATTGCCGCAAAAATTTGAGTTGGGTATAATGATACTTTCATGAAATACGATGCTGCATCTTTTGCTTTCAGAACTGAAATCAGTCTTACTCTTCCCATTATAGGGCTTAACTGGTGACAGAAACTAGCTGAAATAGACTTCTGTGTTACTTTTAATTGCCTTAGTATCTCTTCTGAGTCACATTCCAGCAGTTATAAGACTTGTATCCTTATCTGAGATCTTTTGAAGAGGCCTAATTCAAAAAGTTCCCTGAAGTTAATGTTAAAGATACATGATTTTTAAATATTCACTGCATAGATAAGGTGCTACCAGTCCAGATTAATTTCAGTTTAGGACACCTCTGTTCTCTAGAGAGACATTCTGATTTGGGCATCAACAATCCCTGTGTATTTGTGTATTTTTTATTTTAGTGTTTTAACGTTTATTTTGCATTTATTTACATTTAATGACCCTATGCAATGTTCAGTCCTAGATACTTCATAAAATATAACAATACAGTGCAAATGAACATCTCTTTTTCCAGACTTCTTAACTTGGTATTATCTTGGATAGCCCACAAATGTGCATCTTGTGGATGCAGCTTTTCATCTAATCTTACATTTCATTCTCTGCTAGACAGGGATAGTGAGATTTTTCAGAATTAATAATGAATGTTTTGGCATTTCAGCAATGGAACTGAAGCATGACTATTAGTTAAACAGCTGGCATCTGGCTTGCAATGTATAATCACACTTAATTGAATCATTGCCATTTTATTTAATCACTAGTAACTGCATTATAAACTTTGTAGATGTTTAGTGGTAAGAGTAACAACATCTGTCTTTTAAAGACGTGTGAAATATGTGTCACATTGCAGACGGCTGGCAAGGTGGCCTTGCGTTGCTTCACTCTTCCCCCCAGGCACATGTTGGTACTGTTGCCCTAGGTACGTAAAATGAATCTGGGATTAGAGAAGCAGAATATATCAATTATGCTTAAGCATCTTTATATCTTTCTAATAACAGAGCACCTGAAAATTATTATTCAGACAATTTGGAATGTGTTGACATATTGGTTTTCAACTTGGGCTGTTATAAACAGGTGTTGTGCAAAAATCCAATGGCTTCTTCAGTTCTAATTGGCTGAGACTTTTGTGCATTAGCCAGAATGCATTGCATAGTATTTTTCCAGATCAATTTTTGGATACTTCATTTAAGAGGTGGTATTCAGCAGGTTCTAACCAGTTCTGGAGAACCAGTAGCGGAAATTTTGAGTAGTTTGGAGAACCGGAAAATGCCACCTCTGACTGGCCCCATCCCCATCTATTCTCTGCCTCCCGAGTCCCAGCTGATTGGCTGGGTCTTCTTTTGTTGCCTTACACAGGGAGAACAGAGCTGGAAAGCAGGTTAGTGAGGTGGGGAGGGAATGGGGATTTTTCAGTACCCTTCCCCTGAAGTGGGGTGGGAATGGATATTTTACAGTATCCTTCCCCTGCCATGCCCATCAAGCCACACCCACCAAGCCATGCCCACAGAACTAGTAGTAAATTTTTTTGAATCCTACCACTGCTTCATTTCCATGGATAATAATGGCAGTCCACTTTCCACAACTTATTATATGCCTATGTTCCCTGATTACTGAGCAAAAAGAGAGAAAGAATAAGATTTTAAATCATTGCACCGGTAGAATTGTTCTTTAATAAGAAGCATACTCATGAACTGTCTCTGACAGCTCCCTCTTGAGTTCATAGAGTTCTGTGTCTCAGTTCTTTATTTTTTTGCAGAATTCAGACTGTTAAATTTCACAGGATCTTCTAATTGTACGTTATGCTTTTGAAATAATTCTTCATTTTAATTTTGCACTATTCTTTGAAATAAAAAATGACATTTAATGTTTATGGTTAAATAAATATAAAATACCATGCTTGGGCTTTAAAATCTTTTCTCCTCTTTTCTTTTGAAACATAAAAGGTGAAGATTAGTTGTATTTCACATCATTACTGCTGCTGTAATTATTAAAAAGTGAATACATATGATCTCTTATTGACCTTCTGAAACCTGAAATTCCTATGAGAAATTAAGTCCAGAACTGGGCAGAACTCAAGGAAATTATTTTCCTTTATGTAAGAGTCATGCTGTGCTACCGATACAAAACTTTTCAGAATAATATAAGGCTGATTCTCTCCCCATTGGGTTACATTGCAAATTTTAGATGCTACCTACCTATGAGAAGAAAAGGAGACTTACAAGAGATGAATGCAAGAAAACTTTGTATGTTGCACTTAACTTTTCTTTTCCAGATGAATGAAGCCTGAATCGTAATAAATTGCCCAGTTTCATTTATGGAATGGGTTTGATTGGTAGAATTAAGATTAAAATCCTACCTACAATATTTAATATTTGCTAGAGGGAAAAAATAGGAAGGGAATAGTAGGGTTTGCAGATTTGCAGAGCCATAGAGAATGTCAGAGGAGAGGAAAAAATATCTTTCTGTGTGACTAAAAGTTCACTCGGATGTAGGGTACTAGATTTTATCTATAAGTTGGTAGTTATTTTGGGGTGAATATTAATCAGATTTCCTGTAAGGCAGATTTTGAACACAATAGGAAAGAATATTCCATGAATGAATGATTTTTGTTTTGTTTTCATAGTTAATTGGGAGACCATATGGAGAGCTAACACTATGAAGAAATTTGAGATCCATATGAACATGAATAGCAACGTGGGACTACTGAGACTCTTCCCTGGAATTACTGCTACAGCGGTCAGTCTCCCACTTCCTCAGAACATCTCGGAGCAAATTTGGAGTATTGATTAAATTTAATGAATAAGCAATGAGAAAAGATATTTGGTATTACCCAGGTTCATTGCTGGTATTTAAATACTCTTCATTGCTGGTATTTAAATACTCTCAGAGAAGTACCCTGTTTCTCCAACAATACGGCCTGCCCCAATAGGAAGTCCCAGCATGTTTTACAGACATGAAATTAAATTAAGCCCCTCCCCCCCCAAATTAAGGCCTATATTAAAACATGTGAAATGGGGGGGAATGGTGGGGGAGCTTGCCGTAAGGAAGTACTTTTGTTGCACACCCTGATATGGTGCTGCCCACGTTGACCCCGATACGAAGGCCCCCCCAACGCCGAGCTCAACATCCATGCCGTCGCCGCCCGCCTGCCCAAAGATGCAAGGTGGGGGAATTAAGTCACCCCCGAAAAGACGGCCATTTTTTCGGGGCTCAAAAAAAATAAGACCCGGCCTTATATGAGAAACACGGTAGTATTGAACGAATTATCTTATAATACTTGGTCAATACTTCCAAGAATACTGTTATGTCAATATTTGTAATAGGAAGCTACCAGATTTTGGGGGCTTCTGTGGCCAAAAGAATCTTCTCAAACTTTGACACTTGAGAAACACTTTTATATTATTTATGGCTTGAGGTTGTTAAAGGGTAATTTGCATTGGAGAAGTAGGCCAAGCCCTTTACACTGTGATTTTCTCTTACCAAAAATGAGTCTGAGGATGCAGATACTGGACATATCTCTGTCCTGACCACCAAACAGACCAAAACCTCAACCAATAAATAGTTGGTGATATAGTTCGAAAGCTCCCTCAAATAACTTTGTTTTCAGTAATTTCCAAATAGCTAATAAACTGGAGGCTCTGATCAAATTTATCCTTTTCTCTTTTAAAGACATCCATGTTAGGAATCATTAGTGTACTTTTTGATAATGAAAATGCTCTATGTAAAGAGCTAATTTTTTTTACTCTTCTAAATTTCCTCCTGATCAGCATAATTATATAAGTCCTGATTTTCATATTTTAAGAAGGAGGGGAAAAAAAATCTCCATGCCCATTTCTCCATGCCATGCAAGTTTTATATATCTCATTCACTAGTTTTCCAAACTAAAGGAAATGTCTGCTATTCATTTTGAAAATCATCTTCTGCATGTTTTCTAGCTCTGCATATTCTCTTTCAAAAAAGGGGTAACTGGAATTGTACATAGTATTATCAACGGGGATGTAGCACAGCTTTGTATCAAGCCATTACAAATTTGGCAGTCTTGTTCTCAATTGCTTTCCTAATGATCTCTAGCATAGAATTTGACTTTTTCCATAACTGAACACTGTCAATATCTTCACTGAGTTAATCATAAGATCTGTGTAAGATCTGTTCCTTGGTTTGTTGCAGATAGCTCAAACACTATCGGTGCATAAATGAGGTATTACAACTTGTTGCCCAATGTGCAACATTTCACACTTAAACTGAACCTCTATTGTCTGATCTCTTGACCACTGGGTTTACTCAACAGTTTTGATGAGGAATATTGTACCTACTGATAGTCAATGTGTATAGGTCATTCTGAAAGTTCCTTAAAAATCCAAGTATATAGTGTTGACGGAGCCATTAACAATCCCACAGAAGGTTGGTAAAGAAAAACTCTTGGATGGATCCCATCAACAGTGATTTGTTACTCTAACTCATGGGTGTCAAACTAGCTGTGTCACATTGCTTTTACATGATGTATCACAATGTTTTTTCCCTTCACGGAGTTGGGGTGGACGTGGCCTGCATGTGATATATCCGGCCCGTGGGCTGCCAGTTTGACACCCCTGCTCTAACCTCTCAAGATATTCTAGAAGTTTTATGTATTTAGTATATGGCAAGTACATAGACTTATAGTGGTTCAAATGTTAATGTCCAGTCCACCCAGCCATTCAAGGACAGGGTGGTCTATCCTAGAAATATTTTCCCTAGTTATCTCAGTTTGCTTTATTTATCCTGATCACTTCCTTGAAAAAGCCAATACAACTTCAGATATATATCCCATATCTTCTATTCTTTATATACATTGTATAGTTAGGAATTATTCTAAGTTCCTAACCCAGTCATTCTTTCCATTCCAGCAGATTTCGGTTATATAGTAGATAAGTTCTTGTTATGTTCTTTTTTACAACAAAGTACTTTAATTTTCCATTCTTTGCTTGGACACTTCTAGCATTGGAAAAGAAACAGCTATACTCTACACTAGATCCTTTCCCACATCTTGTCTTTTTGTTTCCTGACTGTTTTGTCCACTGATTAACTCACAATACTATTACTTATATTATTTTCTAAAATTTGTATACCCTTCCACCCTAGATGCTACTTCCTGTCTGTTGATTTTCCCTTAGGGATCAGTAGAAAAGCTGCTCTACAGCTTTTTTCTAATGATATGCCAGCAGCCTAGTTCCATTTTAGTTCAGGTGGAGCTTCTCTATCTTGTACAGGGTTGACTTGTTCAAAATCTTTTCTTGGTGCCTAAGAAATTTACTTAGAAATCTGACATAACTCTGTATTGAGATTCCTCAGTTTGTTTGCTTAGTTGACCCTGGTAAAGATTAGGCAATATTTTACAACAGGAGAATGCTATCTGGGCAATTGTAAAATTTAAGCTGCTAACTCATAGCCTTGGGAAAAAGGGCATATCTACTTAAAACGTATTTAACATACTTATGTGGTCACCTAGCTCAACTAAGGTGACTTTGTCTGGTTCATAAAATTCAACAAAACCAAATATGAAGAACATAAAATCAAGGTATGTAATCTGACAATAATGAAATAATAAAATAATAAAATGGTGATCCAAACAGAAATAATACCATCATCTAATCATGCCTCCAGTATATCATGACTCCAAAGCCCAGGGAAACAGTCTGTCTTGACAGCATTTCTAACAGCTAGCAAAGTCAAGGCTAACTGTATGTTGGGAGAAAGGTTGTTCCATAAAATAGGAGCTGCCACCATAAAGGTCCACTTCCTGGTCCCATACAATAACTTTATTTCAATTAATGAATCCAGAGTGTATAAGGGGCACTCTGGTGAGAAGGTGGCCCCTCAAATATACTGGTCCTATGCCACATAGAGCTTTAAAGATTATAAGCATCACCTTGAATTGGAGCCAAAATCCAATGGGGGAGCCAGTATGGCTTGTAGAGTACAGATGGTCCTTGGTTAAGAACCACTCATTCTATAATTATTAATAAGTCTGTGGTCTAGGTCCTCTTTCGGGATCAGCGAAATTAAGGCTCCCCTCCACGAGTCCGGCATCTTGGCTGCTAAGAGTACCTCATTAAAAACATCCAGCATCAGTGGTCCAATTTGTTCTATGATAATTTTGTAAAGTTCTACCGGTATCCCATCCGGTCCAGGTGCTTTATTGTTACTTTGCTTCTCTATTGCTGACTTCAGTTCGGACCATGTTATTTTTTGATTTAATAATTCTATCTCTTCCTCTCCTATTGCTTTATCATTCGCTTCCTCCAGGTATTTCATTATTTTATCCTCAGAGACTTCTTCTTTTTTGTATAATTTCTCGAAGTAATTAAAAGTAATCTCTTTTTTCTTCTCTATCTCCTCCTGCATATTGCCCCCCTCATCCATTAATTGGTGTATCAATCTTTTTTCTTTCGTTTTCTTAAGTTTGTGGGCTAACCATCTCCCTGGTTTGTTTGCATGCTCAAAGTAGATTTGTTTAGTCATTTTCAGACTAATCTCCAATTTTTCTTGTTCCAGTAAATTTAATTTGTGTTTAGTTGTTATTAACTGGTTCTGTATTCTTTGGTTTTTGGGGTTCTTTTGTAATTGGATTTCTAAATCTTTAATTTCTTGTTGTAGATTACTTTGTTGGGCATACTTTCTTTTATTTCTCATAGCATTGTAAGAGATTGTTATTCCTCTTATAAATGCCTTAAATGTGTCCCATATATTTTGTTTCGAAGTTAGATCATTATTATTTTCCTTTAAGAAGAAGTTCAGTTCTTCTTTCAGTTTATTAATATATTCTTCTTCTTTTGTTAAATGAGTGTTAAAAGTCCATCTTTTCTTTGGTTTTCCTCTACCTCTCCAGGTTATTTGAATTGGATTGTGGTCAGCCCAGTCATTTGGTAAGATTTCGCTATCTTTGATTTCATTAATCAATTCACCGTTTATCCAAGCCATATCTATTCTTGTCCAAATTTTGTGCGGGTTAGAATAATAAGTAAACTGTTCTTTTTTGGGATTTAATTTTCTCCAGATATCTACCAGATTCATTTCATTCAACATATCCTTACATGGCTTAGAAAATTCTCTATTCCCTTTTTTGTTCTTACTCCTATTACTATGATCCTTCTGGTAGTCAGCAATAGAGTTAAAATCGCCAATCAGAATAATATTACCATTTTCGAATTCTGTTATTTTTTGATGGAGATGTTTAAAAAATTTACCTTGATCATCATTTGGGGCATAGATTACTACCAGTAAGAGTGTAATGCCATTAATCGAGATTTGTACTACCAGCGTTCTTCCTTCAGGGTCCGCCCAGATTAACTCCGCTTTTAAGTCATCTCTCATATAGATTGCGATGCCTTTCTTTTTGTGTTTATCTGCTGGTGCTGTAAATAATTTTCCCAGTTTCGGACACTCTAGGAATTTCTCCTCACTTTTCCTAACGTGTGTTTCTTGTATGCAAATTATATCAACATTTTGTTTTATTAGTTTGGTTAGAGTCCTTTTCCTTTTAGCTCTTGAATTTAGGCCGTTTATATTAATGGAAAGAATTTTCTTTCCTTCGTCCATTTGCTTAAGTCTGCCTCGCTTTTTGTCTCGTAACTCTACGGCTCTCTTCTTGTGGCTGATATGGAGTTGTTTCTTCTCTTCCTCGTTGTAAGTTGTCTTTCCCTTGAATTTGGACAGATCTTTCTTCCTTGTTCCTATGGCGGTTACGATCCTCCTGCATATTTCTTTGGATTTTCTCCCTAGTGAGTTGATCCTCCGTGGTTGTTAGCTGTTCTAGGAAGTTTTGTGCTTGTTCAATTGAGTCTATTTTAATTTTTCTTCCCTTCCACGATATTAGCATCCCTTCTGGGATTAGCCATTTAAATGAGATTTCGTTTTTATTTAAGTAATTAGCTAAAAATTTATATTCTTGCCTCATGGCCCTCACTTTACTTGGAATCTGCTTAAGAATTATAATCTCTTTGCCCTTATATAATATTCTCTCATCTCTGGCCTTTCTATATATTAGGTCTCTCATGCATCTTCTTGAAAAACGGATATGGATCTCCCTTGGGCAATTGTGACGCCTTGCATAGCTGGTATTCACCCTATAGATTTCATCAAATTCCTTGAGTAATTCATCTTTCTCTTTTTCTACTAGTTCAGCCAACAAACCTGCCATTAATTGTTCTAATTCTTCATTTTTGGATTCCTCCACATTTTGGAACCTTAAGTATGCAGCTGCTCTGTCCATCTCAAGTTGGACCAAGGAATCTTCCATTTCTTTATTAACATTTTTGAAATCTTCCTCAGTCCTTTCTAGGTTCCTCTCCACTTGTTCCGTCCTGTTCTCTATTTCTTTTATTTTTAATTCAGTTCTTTCCATGACCAATTGCATTGTCCCAACCCTATCTTCAACTCTCTGTATATCTGCTCTCATCTCCTCTTTTAATTTACCCATTTCTTCCTTCAGTTCGCTAATATCTGCTCTGGTCTCATTGTGATTCCTAATCATAATCTCCTGCATTCTAGACATCAATTCTTGCATTGATTCTTGCAGGGATAATAATGTCACTTGTAAGTTGGCATTCGTAACAGTCGGTTGTTTTTCTCCTTTCAAGGTCTCTTCTATAGTTTTCTGCGTTGTTGGGGAGGCAGATGCCAGAGTTGTCAACAAGGTCTGATTGTTCTTCCTTCCTGTTTTCAGGGCCGTGGTTGTTGTGGAAGTCATCTCTGCTAAGATTTGTTTTTGCAATTGGACAATGTTAAGAATATTATCCCAAATCATCATTCGATGTAATAGCCCTTTAAGTGTGATTACAAATCTATTTGCTATGCTTACACCCCAGATACTTTTAGCTCTCTTTCTTTGGCCCAATCTATCATTCAGGCAAATTAAATTCCAATTCAATAGAGTGTTATCAGTTACTATACAATACTATACAATAGGTGCTATACAATAGAATGAAATCAAATATTATGTATTATGTATTATTCTCTATATTAAATTCAAATACCAGAGTTAATTGTATTTTACCCCTAGTAAATCATACTTGTTTAAAGCATACAACCAACTCTAGAATTTCTCACTCTATATATACTTTTGTCCTATAGTATATATAAATATTTAAGATTCCATTCTATCTGAGACAACCCTATTAACAAAAAATCACTGGGAAAGATGGCAGGAAGCCAGAAGTTGCAGTTACTTGAGGTCCTCTCTTAACAAACTAGGGACTGCCAAAATTGCCATTGCTAAATAGCACAGTGACATAATGTCTCACTTTATGACCACATTGCTTAGTGATAGAAATCTGGTCCCAATTACTACCATTAAATGTGGACTACGGTAGTGATATCAAATGGGCATAGTGAGAGGAATCCATAATTTCTTGCACTATTGGATTCTGGACTAATTATAGCTTTAGGATGATCTAGAAAATAAGCCCCATTAAGTTATGCGACAAGTCCAATTGGGAGATGATTAAGCGAAGATTTTCACTGTCAAGTGAAAGACAAATATCTCAATTAAAAATTGGAAAATACAATGAAAGGAGAAATGAAACTTTTTAGAAGATCAGAGAAGAACATTTACATTAAGAGAGGATTATTCATGAGTTATTATGGAAGAGTTTTGATTGATGTAGATGAAGTTAAAAAAAGATGAGGAAATATATTGAAACCCTTTACAGATGTGATTTAGAGTTAAAATTTGCAGAGAGGGTATATCAATTCCAATAGAAAGTGGAATACAATAAAACAGTTGTCAGGTAGAAAATCACTGGATAGAGATATCTTTTTAACTGTTTAAAGCTAAAAGACAAGATATAGTTAAAATCAAAGCAGCACCATGTCAAAAACAAGACTGCTAAGTTAGAGACGGGAACAGTTTGATGTATATACCTATTGTATCCCAAAGAAGAGAGATGTAAGAGAATATACAAATTAAAGCGTTGCACTAATTGCTTGCACAATCAAAGTCTAGCTTAGGTATCTACAAAGAACAGAGCCATACAGTCCATGACAACTGGAGCTCCAAATAAACAGGCAGGTTTCAGGAAAGGCAGTGGAGGAACCCAAGATCAGATAATTACCATAGCACAAAAAATGGACTGAGCAAAAACAAGAAGAACTCTATCTTTTTAAATTGATTACTGTATAGCACGACCATTGATTGGTCTTAATATATGTTGGAGTTTAAAAGGTCAAATGATTGTTCTTTTGAGAAATTTTTACAATGAACAAGAAATAACAGCAAGCTTTGGGTGTGGAAAAATAGAATGGTGTTCAATAGAAAATGAAAAAAGACAAAGTTGTATATAATATATATAATATGAGATTGGCAGCAATGGACAAGATAGATGGAGTCAAAATAGACAGCTTGAAGTCAAACAATTGTTTGAGCACTGCAGCTTTTGTAGAGTGTGGTGGCCTTTCATTGTTTCAAGGTTTATAGTACCCATTTTGCTCCTTAATAATCTCCCAAATGCCTAAAGAACCTGGAAAAAAAATGCAGTTTTTTTGGCTTCATCTAAATGGAGAGTCACAGGAGCCACCAAATGGGAGCTGCTGGGCTTTGCATTTTTCACAGAGGATCTATTAGTTTATGCATACTTTTTATTCAGCAATAATAGCACAATGAAAAGCTTTAGATGATAGTGATGATAAAATGGATTCTATTCTATTATTATGCTTGCAAATTGGTTGTTAAATTCTTTTTTTTTCTTTTTGAAGAAAGCTGAGGCTTACATTAAACAGAAAGCTCAACATTTAGATCTAACACAAAGATGCTATAACTTACACCAGGTTTCACAGTCTGTAGAGGCTTCTTAAAATTTCAGTTTTTTGTTTAAATATGGGAAATTAAATTAAGCCTTTTAGTATGGTCACATGACCCCCAATAATTGATTAACATATGCTTTGTTTCTGCATGCACTAATGCCTTTTGTTCAAAGAGAGCCCATCCCCTCTCTACCACAGGTTTGTTATGCATCCTGGCAGCAGTCTTGCCAAATTCAGTTGTTACACAGCTTTATTCTCTGCTGGTACTTGTCAGGTAGAGCCTCTACAACTTCTCATAGCTTGGGGCCTCACCATGTCTAAACCTGGCCCCATCTCCAGCAAAAGTCTAGGGCTTCAGTTCTCCTGCACCCTGCCAACTGCCTTTCATGCAGCTTCGGTCCCGTTGACAAGTGTACTGCTCTTGCTAGGAAATGAGGCTAGTCTGCAAATGTCTGTTAAACAAAGGAAAGATGTCCTAATTTTCTGCTGTAAAACACTTAAAGCGAAGAAAGTCGGAGATCATTTGACGTTTTTATCTTCTCTCTGCTTCTACTATCTCAGACTTCAACCCTGCCTTGTGTAATCAGTGTTTTGTGATTAGAACCAGGCAATCCTAGCAGACGGCCTTCAAGGTCTGTGTTAGAAGTCTATAATTCTAAGTGCAAAAGTAATCACAAGCTGTTCACTCTGAAGTTATATATTAATGTCCTTATTTAAGTAGATTATTTTAACACATCCTAATTAAAATAGACAGATTACCTACATCTTTCTGAATCATCATATTTTTTTCACTTTTGACTGTAGTCTGTCTTTGCTTTCTCAACATTCTTTGTACATAGTGCAATGCTGTATATATTAGCTGTACTTTTCCCTACCCTTGATCAGCCCAGTAATCCTCAAAAACTCTAGCCAGCCACAGCCAGTGGTGTGACATACTATAAACTATTGGTTCTTGCGCAAGTGTTTGCATCTGTGTGAGAGTGTGTATTTATATACACACATGTGTTTGTAACATCCACTTATTAATTTTAAATAATTAGCACTTCTGTTCCTTTTTGAAAATTTATTTACTAATGCGTCTATGCTACTCCAGTCAAAAGACAACACTGAGTTATTTATATTCCGCATTACCGAACTAATGTGATTATTCATACATTTGGGATGGATCTGAGAAGACATAAAATTGTATTGCAATGAGTTTTAACTGTAATTTCTGATTGCCGTTTTTCTCTTCCAAGCAGGTAAGGGCATTTCTTCAGAGTCCTATGGAAGGCATTGTACTTGAGACCTATGGGAGTGGAAATGCTCCAAATAATTGTCCAGAATTACTAGATTTGCTGAGGAAAGCTACTGATTCCAATGTTGTGATTTTGAATTGCACCCAATGTCTGCGAGGATCTGTGTCATCAGTCTATGCCACAGGAAAGGTGAGAGGAATTCTGCAATCTAAATCACTCTTCCCAACTTGATGGCTTCCAGATAATTCCCATGATCTTAAAGACACTTGTAAGATTCTTATTTTAGATGGCAGATTTCAACAATATGCTTAGCTAGTGGACATACTTGTTTTTCTCCTCTTATGGACCACTCCATTCCAAAGATTCCAAGAAACTTCCATACAATTAAAACATAAGAACCACTAACATGAACATAACAACAAGAAGGCTGAGATATATTGGGCAGCAAAATCTTCATTTAAACAGCTCTTTCAAATATAATGTAGTCCAAATAACTGGGGGTAGGCTGTTCTAGAAGTCTGGAGCCCTCAGTTAGATATCCATGTAGACAGTACTTCCTCAGAGTTGGCATCCTTAGCACTGGATTTTACTGGATGGGCAAATTCAGCTTGCAGAATGGGATCTTGGAGATATCCAAGCTTTCAGCAATGTAGAACTTTAAACTGTATCACTTTGAATTGTATACTGAAATTGATAGGCAGCCAACGGAGCTCCCTTTGTAGTGATATTATATGCTTGAAGGTAGGTATTCCAATAACAGCTCAGGCCACTGCTTGCTGAACTGACTGAAACTTCTGAATGGTTTTCAAGATAGGATGCTTCCAAGAGGTATAGCACGAACGGCAGATTGTATCCAAGGCAGATGTGATTTGAAGAGTAGGATAGGATCAAGTTTAAGTGGTTGTGCCAATTAATAGAATTATGTCAGATCTGGCACTTGGAACTTTTTAATTTCTTTTTCTATAATCCCCATTGTATCCCAAAGATGACTAGTTCTTCCACCAATTGCTTCTAAGATTGTGGTTTTTATGCCTAATTCATCTTAACAGATGAATACTGTCATGTACAAAGACATGCGTGTTATTTATTTTTAATATTTATTTGGTTTAGGCTTAAAGTAGCTGCTTTTCTTTGGTTTTAAAATGGCTTTGCTTTTCCAGGAAGTATTTTGGCTTAAAGGTTTGCCATTAGCAAATGGCTGATTGTCTGTCGTTGTGGTAATGAAAAAGAAAGAATATTAGGTTATGAGAGACATATAGTGAAACAATTTGCATTTGAGTGAAACTACCCTGTGGGACTGTTCTACAAACATGCTCATCTATTTTAATCTAGCATGTACCTGGAGAAGATTCCAAGTGCAATGACATTCCTTTACATTGAATAGGATAATTTTTGTTATAAAAACTCAATTCTGGGCATCCGAACTGCTGTATTAAAGCATGCCTATAATATATGCAAAATAACTCTGAAATCATTACAAATATACCGAAATATGTTACAATATACTATAACAACAAAGCCTGTTTGTTATTGGTATGATTTCAACAGGTAGGCCCTATTCCTGATTAGCTTTGCATTATGAATTAAGACATTGTTATTATTTAAAAAAAATCCTGTGTTTAAAATGTGCCATGTGTGTGGAAGTCAGCAAATAAAATTGATTAAAAAAAAAACAGATATAAGTTAGTTGTTATAATGGACCAACGGTCCATTACCCAGCAAAATAATACTGACATTTAAATCAAAGGAATAATACAATTAAAATCTTATTTACACTTTCAAATTTTACTCTAGGCATTCACACATTTACCAGAACTTAGTAAATAATGATAACAAATATTAAATCACATTGACTGGTGCAGTAGCAAAAAGCTTGTTCATTAATGTTCATTAATGAGCCGTGATGGCAGAGCCGTGATTAGAATGCAGTATGGAAGGCTACTTCTGCTGACTGTTGGCTGCCAGCAATTTGGCAGTTTGATTCTCACTGGCTGAAGGTTGATTCAGTTTTCCATCCTTCCAAAGTCAGTAAAATGAGGGCCCAGATTGTTGGGGGAAATATGCTGACTCTGTAAACTGCTTAGAAAGCACTGTGAAGCGGTGGTATATAAGTCTAAGTGCTATTGCAAAACACAGCGAGAGGTTCTGTGTTTTCTAATTCCTTCACAAACAAGCTGGCTCTAAAAAAAATCTTCCTGAGATTTGCAGCATCGGAAGAATATTGGTTGAAAGAGGGCTGCAGTCAGTACAGGTAATTCCGTGACTTAAAATCATTCATTTAGTGACCGTTTGAAGTTACAACAGCACTGAAAGAAGTGACTTATGACTGTTTTTCACACTTACGACCATTGCAGCATCCCCATGGTCACATGATCAGAATCCGGATGCTTGGCAATTGGTTCATATTTATAAAAGTTGCAGTGCCCCAGGGTCATGTTTCATCTTTTGCGACCTTCTGACAAGCAAAGTCAATGGGAAAGCCAGAATCACTTAACAACCATGTTACAACTGTGGTAGGAAATAAAATGCAGCAAAACTCACTTAACATGTGTCTTGCTGAGCAACAGAAATTTTGGGCTCAACTGTGGTTGTAAGTCAAGGACTATCTGTAATTGCCCCCAGATCATACTTTGCACTTGCAGAGCTGTTTTTCATTCTAGTTATATTAGAAAGCAGTGCCTTCATTCAAGCTGTATTTTTTCCCCTTTGGCATTGAATATAGACTCTCATGGATGCCGGTGTAATTCCAGGAGGAGATATGACGCCAGAAGCTGCTCTTGCCAAGTTATCCTATGTCCTGAGCAAACCTGGACTTACTTTTGATAAAAAGAAAAAGGTAAAATGACTTTTTCTTTTCAGTTTTTAAATGCCTGGTTTCCTTACCTTTCTTGCACATAGGATCCCACAAAGCGCATAACTAGTAGCCGGTGGCCAAGGGAAGTTTAAAGAACAGCCTGATCTTGATGGTGGCTTAGTTCTCTCAGCACAGCAAGCTACAAAATACCTAAGCAAGGTCAAAACATATTGAGATAATGTGTTTGATTATTAATGTCTATGAAAATAGACCCCGTGGAGTCAGTGTGTATGGCTAAGTCTGTTCAAGATTCATATTAATAAGAATAAATAGGAATTGGATAGCAACAGCAAGACTAACATTGATAATTTGTTGATGAAGATAATGACAAGGGTGATGATCATGATATTCTCATCCTCTATCAATTTGATGATGATGATGATGATAATGATGATGATGATGATGATATTGACATAAAATTCTCCTTCTCTATCAAACATCTCAAGTTAGCCTTGTCCCCCAAATAAAAAAAATAAATGGATCAGTTCACTTCTACTCACTTGAATGATCTTCAGAGCCAGTTTTTACCTGCTGAACTTCAGAGACAAAATCCTGCTGAACTTTTTAAAAATTTCTACCCAAAGTCAAAGAAAGTCTTTAACATTCAATTGCTGCCCGTTCATTATGTTTCTTGTAGCTCTCAGAGGCTGAAAAAAAATAGTACCTTTGGTATAATACAGGTAAAAAATATTATCTATTCTTAATTTAGCTGCTGCTAATGGGAGAAAGGCCCATTTTAATAAAGAATCTCCCACAGTATGCCCACAGTGTGGTTTATGATATACATCGGGGGCTGGATCCGGCCCATGGGGTGCTTATATCTGGCCTATGGGCCCACCCTGGTAGTGAAAGACCAGCCCATGGTGCCTCTGCAAGTGAAAATGGCATGCAGCCCTCCTGAGCTCCATTTTTGCTGGCAGAGAGATTCAGCAGACTGTTTTCACTGGTGGAGAGCTCAGGCCACCACATGCGCCCCCGACATGAATGACATCAAGCTGGCCATGCCCACCCTGGCCACGCTCACCCCGGTCCACTGAGATCAAACACAATCCTGATGCGGCCCTAAATGAAATCGAGTTTGACACCCCTGGTATACATGGAGGCTTGTAGGTCAAAGTTTGGTATAAAAATAGCAAACCAAGAAAAAAAACAGAAGATTTTTATACCCATGGAGCAATATAATTCTATATAGTCTATTGCAAGATGTTTCCTGTAAGCTATGGATACCTGGTGAACTGTGGGGAAAATCTGTGTATGTTTTGATAACTAGAGTTAGGAATGCTGCTAACTCAATGATAGCTGAAATACGGTGTCGAGAGAACAACTACACATGTCACTTGCTAAAAGTTATCCTGTGGCTTGGGAAGAATTCTTGTATGTGTAATATATTTTACATATATAAAAATTGGGGCCTAACTTCCCCTGGAAAGTAGCATTAAAAAATTCCCACACCTACAACGTTCTCTTTATTTTATTCTTTTTCAGACATGCCTAAACAGTACTAAAAGTGGGATAGTATTTCCCACAGTACTCTTGCTTTCTTTAACTTTGTACAGCCATGCTTCTAGATAGATAGGCATCACTAGGCATGTATATTCCCATATTCTCTCTAATCAGGGAACAATTCTGCATTACACAAGCGTTCTGCATGTATGTGCAGCACTGTTTTTATTTTGTTTTCAGTCTTTCTCCAATATTATCCCAGAACCTCTCCTCTTCTTCTGTTCCTAAATAATCAGTGTTATTGTCAGAACCAGACTGTGCTTAGCTATGGCATCTTACAGGCTAAGGGCTCTCAGATCACAGTGGTTGACAATGGCCTTTTGTTTTGTTTTTGTTAGGGTTAGATTCTTGAGACAGAGAACCTTAACTCACACACAATAAATATGTATATTTCATATGGGTCATTTCATACAATACAGGTAGTCCTTGGCTGCAGACTGCTATGTTTAGTGACCATTTGAACATTTAGCAGCATTGAAGTAGTAGTTTTACAACTGGTCCTTGAACTTTAGTCGGTTGGGTTGCCAGCATTAAGTCTCAAGTTGATGTCATACTTAATGACCATGAATGGTTTGCTTATCATCTGCAGAAGAAATGACATTGTAAGTCTGGCATGGTCACATGATGTTTTACTTAACTGCCATGTTGCTTAGTGATGGAATTCCTAGTCCAAATTGTGGTTATTAAGTGAAGACCACTTGAAATCCAAGCCAACTAGGAGAAAACACCTCCACTTACCAAATCCATATCAGAACGCTACTAATTCATAACTGTTACCATAGCAGGATCTTATAAGGAGATTGATTAATCTTTCTAATATTGCTAACATGCTAACTTTTCAAGGTGATTAAGTATGAATGATATTCAGGAAAATCATATGAAGTAAGTAAGAATGATGTTCCTGAAAATCTTATGAAGAGCAAGTCAGGAATCAGGGTATACTGATCAAGGCCCCTGATCATAAATGAATTTCCATCCAAACATGGATCTTAATCCTTTTTTATACTATCCATAATATCTTTCTCATGTGGTCTGTGATAGATCCAGTTCATAGGTCCAGCACCCATGTAAATTACTTTCCATTTTGTGTGCTTTTTAGAGTTCAGAATTAGATGCCTGCTTGGAAACTTGAGGATTGTCATGTATTATAAATTGTGTAAACTTCTACAGGCCTCAGTAAGGTTCAGTAAGGTTCTGGGGACTTGTCATGATGCACACTTGTCTTTGTATTTCTTGGAGTCCCATTCTTTATTACTTCTGATATTTTGCAGCCCTCATCTTGGCTTCTTAACATGTCTTCCTCTCCTGTTCTCAGGAAAACATTTCTCCCTTCTATCTTTACCTTTCCAGAAAAAAGATTTGATTTCTGCTGTATCATTAGTCCTCCTTCAACATATCCCTGAAACTTTTTGATTGTGAGCACGGTGCACAGCGCATAGTGTACATTCAGGCTGTTTTTTCATGCCTACAATGCCATCTTTCTATGCTTAACCCACATTCTCCCACATTTCTTACTCTTCTCCTGCATTTCAAATAGAGGCATAATGTGACTGGTGATGTTTGCCTCAGATTATTACTACTAGTACTTCTCCTGCCTTAGTTATCTTAATAGCAGCAAGCTATTTAACATGGTTTTACCCTTCTGTGAATGAGTTTATGATTATAAGACAGGCAATATCTACAGGATTTGAGTAAAGGAATCTTTCAAATTAGTATTAACACATAAAAAAATCAATACTTTTCGTGAGTGTTCACATTGTGCACATTAAATAAACCAAGTAACATATAATCTTAATCCTTCATACTACGTATAAAAGATGAAATAAGTTTGAGTTGTGTGACTTTGCACCATCTCTTTTCTTCTTCATCTTGTTACTTTCTTAAAGTTTCTTTGTTGCATAAAATCTAGGGATTGTGATTTAATTCATTATACACAAACAGATTGACTAGGTCTCAGTCTCGCCGCTCTCCCCACCACCGCACAAAATGTGCTTGGAGGATCTGCTTGAGTGGGCCACTCAGATTGGAGTAGATGGTCCTTCAGTTATCTTAGATTTATTTATTTGGATTATAGACTGGCTTTTCTTTATGCAGATGCTGAGTAAGAATCTGAGAGGAGAAATGACTGTTGTACCCATTGGAACCCAGATAACTCTCAAAGATTGCAAGTTTATACAAGAGATTGCAAAATATCTGTTGATCAGCTGCAAAGAGGTACTTGTTCAAATGGCAGTTGTTCAAGCAGAGGACACTGCAGAACAGTTTAACCACTTGTGAAATAATATACCATGGTGAAAATATTCCCTTCCCTATTACTGCTTTCTTTTACCAAGGCACAATACAAACTTTAAAAAGTGATATCAACCAGTGCTATATCATTGGCTTGGAATTTAGCTTCAGCACAGTAGACAAATATTAGTTCTAAAATGATGAACACAACAACAACAAATTTAAAATAATGCCACGGAATAAAGCTGAATGTATGTACACCCACAATCATTTTTAAAAGGTACTTATCCATAACTGTCAGATAGGATGGAAAAAGCAGATTAACCCACTAATAAAATAATTTAATATTTAAATCCCTTTAAGGGATATCTGATTTCCACAGACATGGAGGGAGGGGGGAAGTGGGCCCTGAGCCATGGGTCCACATCTCACATGGAGCCTGCACCCCTGAAGTAAGAAACCAAAATAAGACCCTGCTGTTTGGAACATAAGCAGACTGTAGGAGGAAATAAAAGCAGACTGATACTGAGGAGTTTGTGACCGGAGGGATTTAAATATAAGTAGTATTAATTTAAACTTGAGACTGCTTTCTCTTGGCAGCCAGTGAAGAGCTCTATATAGTACTAAAATGTGAGAATAATATGAAAGGTTCAGAACAAGCTCAAATGGCACTGTTATGCTCTATGAAGATAAAACATTCCAGACCACACATCATCCAGAGCCATAAAAGACTGATAGAGGTTGCTATCATTAATGTAAACATTGATACTGGATTCATAATTAGAGCTCCCAAAGGGATAGGTAAACAAAATAGCACCATATCTGATCTCTGAGGGACAACCCCTTCCTAGGACTTTAATCCACCGTGTTATACTGTCAAATAACAAGAAAACAAAACAAAATCTTTTAAACCAATCAAGAGCATTGACAATGATGTCCAAGAACTATCAACAATATCCAGGCCCACCGAACCGGTTGGTCTTGAAGTCTCTTCCCAAATAGATCGACCAGATATTGAATGGAAATCCACATCTATATATGTGTGCAATACATTCCCTCTTGTTTGTGCTCACCAACCACTGCCTCTGACATTAGAAGAGATGGTCATCATATTTTCTTCTAATCAATTATATATTCAGCACATTAATAGCTTTAGCTATATCAGGCTCTTTCATTCATTTTTATAACTTTTCTTTTCCCTAACGGATTAAAGAAAGATATAATAATTAAAGTGTTTGATAAAAATATGTTTGAAGATTGCTGGAGTGACTGAAGTACAGGACTGATGGAGAGGAAACTGTAATTTCATAAAACTTTAAAAATAAAAAGAGTCATGTTGTCCATATGCTCATTTTGCACAAACCATATTAAATTCTAGAGTTCTATATAATAAATGGAGAAAGCAGGCATTGCTCAGAACGTGATTCCTCAAACAAGCATATCTAGTCAAAAATGTCCAACTACTGTATATGCAAACGCAGGTGGAGGAAATATGTATAACTAATAGTTTTATTTCCTTTTCTCAGGAACTGGCAGCTGTAAGGAATGCCTTGACTCCTTCTTTGGCATGCGTGGCTGCAAAAAATGGTGACTTAACTGCCCTGAAAATCTTACAGGACTTGGTAACTGTCTCTTTTCTTTTCTTCTTATATGACTGTTTTGGAGTGTCAAACAATTTTTTCTCACCAATTAATTTGAACTGTATTTTTCCAAGAGGTTATTCCATGGCCTCCAGAATCTGGATTTAGAAGGAAAATAAAAAACCCAGACATGTTAGATTATCCATAATCAATTTCAAGAAGCTTTGTGTATTTATTAGAAAGAATGCCAGATTTACAGCTGATTAAAACCTGGAGATAGTTTAAAATAACTGCTACATTTTTATATTTTTGAGTAGAAAGCACCAGACTTTCCCTTTTGCTCCTTGCAATCTAATGAAAATCCCATTAACTCCTAGTACATCCCTCAGGTGATCTTAATATTTCAAAATTGCAGATGGGGAATTCTTATCTTATTCTTCTTGCATTCCACATTTTTGGTTAATATGCAGTTGTTCTGGAAAATTCAAAAGTGAGTTTGTCTCTTCGTTATTGTTTGTCCCAATCGTTAAAATTATATTATTGCTTCTAGTCATCAGATTGTTACGTGAAATTGTATTATTGGATAAAGTGTTTATATCAATGAATGTACATTGAATGTAAGAGAGGGCAAGTAGAATTCAGTTATCAATATAATAATATCTGAAAAGAGTAGGTTTTCCATGTGAAAGGGGACTCCTGAAAAGCAGAGGATCTGCACAACACCCTAATCTATTTGCATCTTATATACTGTATATATACTGTATATATACTGTATATATACTGTATAT